TCATCATCATCATCATCATCATCATCATCATCATCATCATCATCATCATCATCATCCTCATCCTCATCCTCATCCTCATCCTCATCCTCTTCCTCGTGTGAGCACGTGGATACCTCCGCGGCGCCAAGCCCAAGGTCCGCGGCGGCGCGGCGGAGGCCAGGGGGCGGAGGGGGGGGGCGCCGCCTCCTGTCGTGGAGGTGCGTCTGGGGGGCCGGCGGGGGCGCCCAGTCCTGGGGCGCGCACGGGGGAGACGGGCGGAGGAGGAGGGAGGAGGGCGGAGGAGGGGACGAAGGAGTGACGGAGGAAGGAGGACGGAGGAGGGAGGACGGAGGAGGGAGGACGGAGGAGGGAGGACGGAGGAGGGAGAGGAGGACGGAGGATGAGGAGGAGGAGGAGGAGGAGGAGGAGGAGGAGGAAGAGGAGCAGGAGCAGGAGGAGGAGGAGGAGGCGGGAGAGGGAGAGAGAGAGAGATGACACTGATGCGGGCAGTGTCTGGCCGGGCGTCCCGCGGCCAGCGGCGGGGGCGCCGAGCCCCTGTGGCCGGGACGCAGCGCAGCATTCGGAACGAGGCACGGCTGCGGGAGAGATTGAAGGGCCCCAGGACACACAAATAAATACACACAAATAAAAATATTCCCCATATTTTCCCATATTTTCTGGGCTTCTGTCTTCCCCCCCACTTCCCATATTTTCCTATATTTTTCTAGGAATCGACGATTAATTGTGTCTGTGTGTTTTTTCCCCTCCTGGGAGATGACCCCCAGCGCGCGACGAGGCGCACGGCTGGTTAAGAAGGCAGAGTCCCCGAGTGGCGCGTGGCGCACGGCCACCGGAGGGCTCAGCGGCAAGGTAGGGGAGCGAACAATGACAGAAACATACAATTTCGAAGGTCCGCGCGGAACTCTCGGACCCGCACTGGGGCCCCCTGGCGGCGACGCAGGCGCCGCCACTGGCGCGCTCCGCGCGCCAGGGAAGAGGGCCCCAAGATAGGGAGGGGCTGATTGACGCCGTGGCGGGACGTCTTCCCAGATTCGAAGGTCTACGCGGATTTCTTGGACCTGCGATGGGCCCCCCTGGCAGCGCCGTAGGAGCCGCCACTGGCGCGCTCCGCGCGCCAGGGAGGGGGGCCCCCCGATAGGGAGACCAGGGGCCGATTGACGCCGTGGCGGGACGTCTTCCCGGTCCTGGCGGGCCCCCACGCTGTACCCCGTGCGGATGGGTGGTCAGTGATGGGCGCTGCGGGCCAGACAGGCCGCCGTGCAAGCGAGAAAGCTTGGAACGAGACGCGCCGGGGCACTGATGGCCCAGCGTGAGGCTCGAACAACGACTGCACGCAGACGCGTGCGCAGCGAGGAGCTGGTGGAGGGACTGTCGACGCCGAGCCAGGGCCAGGGCCGCGGCATGGGTAGCGGTGAGGCTGACAACGATGCTTAGTGACTTAGTGCCTCGGCAGCGGGGACGGGTGATTCGAAGAGCCTCCGTCCGAGTCAGAGAAAGCGCCACGGAAACCGACACCGAGGTAGGGCACAACTCAGCAGACGAAGACGAGGCAAGCGGAGGGGGGGAAACGGGCACAGGCGCCCCCCCACACCTGGAGAGACCCGAAGCCCGAGGGGGGCAGGGCACTGCCACCCAGGAGGAAAAGAAAGAGGCAGGAAGAGGAGACAGGGCAGGCAAGGAAAGAGGGAAGGGAGGCGCGAGGGGGGGGAAAGAGAGGCAGGCAGCGCGGGGCGGGATGGGGAGGGAGCAGCGCAGGGAGGGCGGCGCCGTACCCTTCCGGGCGTGGGGGCCCCGGAAGAGGGCGGGGCGGGCGCCAGGCGCTGGGCTCGGCAGTCGGCCCGACGGTGCAGACCCGAGGCTCGAGGAACACCTCGGTCAAGGTGCCGTCCCGTCGTGCGGGAGCGGCGGAGGTGGCGCTCGCGCTGCACGGGGTCTCCTCCTGCAACTCCCCGCCCCTCCTCCTCCCCGCTCCTCCTCCTCCTCCCCGCCCCTCCTCCTCCCCGCTCCTCCTCCTCCTCCTCCTCCTCCTCCTCCTCCTCCTCCTCCTCCTCCTCCTCCTCCTCCTCCTCCACCTCCTCCTCCTCATCCTCCTCCTCCTCCTCCTCCCCGCTCCTCCTCCTCCTCCTCCCTCCTCCTCCTCCTCCTCCTCCTCCTCCTCCTCCTCCTCCTCCTCCTCCTCCTCCTCCTCCTCCTCCTCCTCCTCCTCCTCCTCCTCCTCCTCCTCCTGGAGCGAGTGGGATAATCGTTGGCGCCTGAGTCAAAGATTCTTCAACAACGAGGCTTGGCGCCTCGGCACAGGGAGCAAACCGACTGGTCAGGCTGACCTCAACAGGCGCGGAGGGGGGGCGGGTGTGCGATCGATGCTGGCGCTCGACCTGGAGGCAACCCTGGCTGGTCGCGGCGTGGGGCCGGGCTCCCGCGCGCGCCCAGTGGGGGCAAGAGCCACTGAGGTGACTGGACGGGCGCGAGAGCCAGGTGGCACGGGTGCGAGGACGCCAGCGTTGTGCAGGGGAGCCCTACGGCCGTTGCTGTGCTCGCGCTGTGCCACCGACCGTGTAAAACGACAGCGCACAACTGCCCTGCAAGCAACGCACCTGAGCGTCACGACTGAAACACATGTGATGGACCCGAAGATCGATTACACAAGCTATGACTCAGATGCGAAAACAGGACGAGCATCGCACTGGTCAAAATTTCTAGTAAGCTTAGCAGGCCGAGCAGCGCCAGTACAGAAGCAAGACAGAGATACCTGGCAGCATGGCGCATGGCGCGGCCGCTCAGCGGCCGCATGGCGCCGCCGCGGCCGCCGCCCCCGCCCTCCCTCCCTCCCTCCCTCCCTCCGCCTCCCTCCACGCGCGGACGCCGCCCCGCGGCGCGCCCTCCCCGCGCCGCACAGGGCGAGAGAGAAGAGGGTCTCCTTGCACGGGCTCTCGAGGAAGAGCGGGGCCGCGCTGGGGTCCTCGGCGCGCGGGGGGAAAGGGGGGGGGCGGCAGGGCCACTACCACGAGGAGCGCCAAGTATTGAACGAAGCCCCTCTTTCGCCCCAAGAGCCCCTGGCTGCACGAGGGGCGCGGAAGGAGCAGCCGTGGAAGGACCTGAGTAACAGCGAGTCCCTTCCGAACGCGAACTGTTTCCTTATTTCAGCGCTTCGGCTGTACTGTCAGGGAGGGCAGGGCTTGCGTAGGACGACGGCTCAAAAAAAAGACGAAGGCCACTGTTTCTGCCGCTACGCAAGATTGTGGAGAGGGGGGGGGCGAAAGTATCTCGATGAGAACGACGACGACGCCAACGAGCAGACCCAGAATCTGGATGTATGATTATGTGGTTCTCATCGTACTTAAGGACCACATCCCAGAAATAATTTCGAGCACCAGAAAAAGGGTCGAAACAGCGTCGAACGAGCATCCCTCAAGTTTCGGTACTTTTTCGGGTGCTCGACATTATTGCTGGTGATCAAGGCTAAAGTAGGTTGGAACATCATGAATGTATGAATCATCGCCCAGGGCTTGGCGGCGCGCACAAGGGGGTGGAGGGAGGGGGGGAGGCTTCTTAGAAGGAGGCTGCTTCGTAGAAGGCGCCGGCCTCACATCTACAGATAAGGGCCGCGCCTTCTAAGAAGCAGGGGTGGTTCTAAGAAGCCCTCCCCCCTCCCCTCCCTCCGCGCGTGGCTGAAGGGCGCCGCTGCGTGACGGCCCCCCTCGGCACTTCTTGCGCGCCACCCTGTATGGACTGCGGTCCCGCACGCAGGATCTTTGCACGCAAGCCCGAATCAGTGCACCCCTGGCTCTGCAGGATCCTGCAAGATCCGGCGCTCTGGCTGACTTCCCTTTGGATTGACCCCCGTCTCAAGGTCCCCGATAATCCACTCTCGGTCTTCTCCCGCTACAGGGGGCCCTCGCTTTGGGCGCAATTCGGGCATCCTGAGGCCTCTGGGAACCTGAAAGAGCGCCTGGAACGACGACGACGACGACGACGACGACGACGACGACGACGACGACGACGACGACGACGACGACGACGACGACGACGACGACGGCGGCGGCGGCGGCGGCGGCGGCGGCGGCGGCGGTGACGGCGGCGGCGGCGGCGGCGGGGCGGGGCGGGGCGGGCGATCGCTGGCAGAGCGGGTTGGGACGGGGCGGGGCGGGCGGGGGCGACGGAAAGGAGGAGGAGGACGAGGAGGAGGAGGAGGAGGGGCGAGGTGCCACGGCATGCTGGGGCCGACTGCCCGCCACGCCCGCCCCCGAGGCCAGCTGGACCCGCACTTCCCCCCGACCTCGATCCCTCCTCTCTCCGTATCCTTCCCTCCCCATGACTCCGTCCATCCCTCGATCCCGATCCATTGGCCCTCCCTCCCTCCCTCCCGGCCTGCCTCCCCCCCTCCCCATCCCTTCCAACCTCCCATCAGTATCCTGCCATCCCTCTCTGTCCGTCGCCCCCTGCCTTCTGCCCGAACCATCCCTCCCTCCATCCTTCCCATGCGCCCCTATGCATCCCTCACTCCCTGTCCATCCATACCTCCCTCCCTCTGTCCCTATCCATTCGTACTGTCGGCCCTTATCCATCCATTTCCCCCGCCTAACCATCCCTCGTTCTTTCACCATCCCTCGCTCTTCCTCTCCCTCCGTCCATCCCTCCCTGTCAGCTCGCCCTCCCTCCATGCCATGTCCATCCATCTTCGGACATCCGACGTCGTGATTTCACTGCAGGGTCCCTGGAAACCCTGACCTATCCCCAGGGTTCGGTTCTCCGCTCGGGACCGGTGTTGACGGCCCCGGAGCCCGAAGACGGCCTCTGGTCGAAACACGGCGAAACGTCAAGTCCGCCCTGACGTGTCCAAGACGTAGAAGGAAGAAACAGCAAACAAGCACTGATCTGTCCACGACGTTGGAGGTCTGGGCCCCTGGTTCCCTCCCTCGCTCCCCAGAATCCCTTCCCCGTTCCCTCCCTCCAGCCGGGGCCGTCCTCTGCCTCCAGCCGAGCAAAGCCGTCTGGCTTGGCGACGTCGTCCATCCCGCTGCAGATCTGCGCGCGGGGGGCGTCGGCTAGGAGGGGGGAGATGGGAGGGAGGAAGGCAGGGAGATCCGTTGGTTGGTTTAAGTCGGGCCTGTCCCCCTACAGGGGGGTTTTCGACGAAAAATTAAAAATAATCGAAAAATACCCCAAAATTGTCAAAAAATACTCCAAACCAAAAAAAAAAACCTGACTATTTTTGACTATTTTGGAATATTCCTCCTGTAAAGGGACGGGCCCGACTCCATGGTTGGTTGGTTGGCTCTTTGCGGGTCCGGTGGAGGGAGGGAGCGAGGGGGCAGGGCAGGAGGGAGGGGGGAGGGAGGGAGGGAAAAGGGACGGAGGGACGGAGGCACGGAGATCGGAGCAGGGAGGGGGAAGGAGGGAGGGAGGGACGGAGAAGGGGTGGGACGCACAAAGACATACTGGTACTATATGTTCTCCTTGGAGGCGCGCGTCCGACCTCAACATATAGTACACCCAGCTTGTAGCATACTGGAAGATTTCTCGGTGCGCGCGTCGCCCCTGGGGGGGGGCGACGCAAGAATAGTATAAGTATGCTGGGGTGACGCCGAAAGGGAGGGAGGGGAGGGAGGAGGGAGGCCGCACGAGCTGGGCCAAAGAGCCCCAAGAGACTCCCAAGAGGTCCCCAAGAGACCCCCAAGAGGCCCTCAAGAGGGCTCCAGGACCGGCGGAATGAGCGAAGCGATTCAATAAGCATGTTGGGGTGACGCCGAAAGGGAGGGAGGGGAAGGAAGAGGGAGGCCGCACGAGCTGGGCAGTTCCCCAGGCAGTGGATCTGGATAAATACCCGCCTCGCACTGATAGACGAGGACGAGAAGAGAGGTTGCGGGGGGAAGACGACGCGACAGCCGCCCCAACCTGTGCCACCCTCCCTGTCACTGGAAACTATCCTCAGGGCGCCCTCCAAGGGGAGGGAAGAGGGAGGCTGCACGAGCTGGGCCAAGGAGCCCCAAGAGACCCCCACGAGACTCCCAAGAGACTCCCAAGAGCCCCAGGAAGGCGCCGCCTCCCACGGGAGCAGGGGAGGATGAGGAGGAATCGGAGCCGAACCGCGAAGCGCGAAGCGCGAATAACATCGCGCCCTCGAAGGCGCCCTTGGGAAGAGGGAGGCCGCACGAGCTGGGCGGGAGCGTCGCCCGCGGCAGGCGGGCGCAGCGAGCGGCTCTCCGCCGCCCGCTGCGCCCGCGCGAGAGCGCGCGGCCTCCGCCGCTGGCAGGCGCCTGCCCCCCCCCCGGCCGCCGGGGGGGGTGGGCGTGCGGAGGCCGCAGCGCACGGCGCAGCCCGACGAGGCCCCGCCGAAGCAGGGGCTCCCAACTTCGCGCTTCGCGCCGCGCGGAGCGCGGAGCGCGAAGCGCGAATAGCTTCGCGCTCTCGCGCCGCCTCCCAGGGGAGCAGGGGAGGGTGAGAAGGAATCGGAGCCGAACCGCGAAGCGCGAAGCGCGAAGCGCGAAGCGCGAATAACTTCGCGCCCTCGAGGGCGCCCTTGGATGTCGCGGCCTGCGAAGATTGTGGGCCAGCTCTCTGGCGCAGCCCCGAGACCGTGCCTCAGCGAGGCTCGCCGGAGGCGCAGCGGTCGGGGGCGCGCCAACACGGATTCGCGATCCACGGAATTGGCGCGCGGTCGCCAGATCCATGGATCGGGGGAGGTGCCCTCCCCAAAATGCGGCCGGCGCCGCCTCGCTCGGCGGCGGAAATCCGCGATTTCCCGTGGAAGCAGGGACCCGGCGCTAGTCCACGCCCCCTTGATCCATGCCTGCGATCGCCTGATCTCCGGCGCAGCCTTGAGACCGTGTCTCCGCAAGGCTCGCCGAAGGCGCAGCAGAGGAGAGGAAGCTCTCGCAGAGGCTTTGAATGAAGGGGCCCTGGGACACACAAATAAATACACACAAATAACAGGATTCCCCATATTGTCTTCCCCGCACTTCCTATATTTTCCTATATTTTCGGGGGAATCGACAATCAATTGTGTCTGTGTGTTTTTGTCCCTCGTGATTGAAGCCCACCCCCCTGCGGCACGGCGAGCAGGCCCAGGCATCGGACGCCGTGCTCTTCCCCTCCTCGGCGTGGCTACCCCCAGAGGCCTGGCCGCCTGCCCCGGAGGCCAGCTCCTCGTCCAGGTCCTCTGGATGTGACTACCTACCAGACCACCCCAACCCAACCCGAAGACCCGAATTTCGGGTTGGGGGGGGTAAGGGTTCCACACGTGTTTTTTCGATGTTTCCCGACCCCCCCCCCAACTGGAAATCGAGGGTAAATCTGAGCCTTCGGGTTGGGTTGGGGTGGTTTGGTGGGTGGTGAGGATGGGAGCGGAGGGTCACGCCGCATCGCCGATGCATCGCCGAAGCATCGGCAATGCACCGACGATGCACCGACGATGCATCGGCGACGTCGGCGATGCATCGGCAACGCCGGCGCGGAGAAAGCCGGGCTCCACATCGGGGTGCATCCCCGATGCATCGGCAGTGCGGCGCGATCCACCGACCACATCTGCTCGGACCCCATCTGGGAGAGGCCCAGATCATTCCGAGCTGTTTACTGACAGCCCAAAATAAGAGACGAAGCCAGGACGAGGACAAACTCAGATGAGGATAAATCGAGAATCTCTGAGATCTGGCGGCTCTGGAAGACATCTCGGGCGCCGCGGCCTTCCCAGAGCGTACCGGAACGCTCTGAGCGCGCTCCAGAACGCTCTGGAGCGGATTCATCGAAGAGGATTTCGTCGACTTCCTGACCTCAAGTAGGTCGGGCGTGTCCTCATACAGGGGGATTTGGGGCGAAAAATAAGAAACACTCCAAAAATGGACAAGAAGATTCAAAAATCATCGAAACATCGTCCCCAGGCTATTTCTAAAAACTATGTCTTAGATACTCATCCTGTAGAGGGACACGCCCGACGCGTAAGTCCAGGCCCGCCCAGCGCCTCGGCGAGCAGCGCTCCCTGCTGGGCGCCTCGCGGAGCCGCCCGGCCCCGCGGGGCGCGGGCGAGGCGCGAGCGAGAGAGGTCGTGGCGGCGATCCTCCGGGCGTTCGACGCCCCGATGTGTGCAGCACGTGGCCCCCGCCGTCGCCGACCCGTCCCCGGGAGGAGGGGGAGGAGGAGGAGGAGGAGGAGGAGGAGGAGGAGGAGGAGGAGGAGGAGGAGGAGGAGGAGGAGGAGGAGAGAGGAGGAGGAGGCGGATGAGGAGGAGGAGAAGGAGGAGGAGGAGGAGGAGAGAGAGAGGAGAAGGAGTAGGAGGGAGAAGGAGGAGGAGGAGGAGAAGGGAGGAGGAGGAGGAGAAAAGAAGAGGGGGAGGAGCGGGCTCTTCGATCCTGGGTCGCTTCTGGGGGCGCTCCCGGGGGGCGGCGAGGGCCCCCAGAGGCCGCACGCGGCGGCGAGCCTCCCGCCCTGACTCTGCCACGGCGCGAGCGTCTCTGGGCAGTCCGGGGCCGCCCCTCCTCCTCCTCCTCCTCCTCCTCCCCTCCTCCTCCTCCTCCTCCTCCTCCTCATCCGCCTCCTCCTCCTCCTCCTCCTCCTCTCTCCTCCTCCTCCTCCTCCTCCTCCTCCTCCTCCTCCTTAGAAGGCCTCGATGATCTCCGCCCTGCCGTACCTCCGGAAGTCGCTGGCGTACCTGCCGCCGGCGTGCGCTCTCCATGGGAGCCCCCCGGGCGGCGGGGCGCCGCGGTCGGCGGGGAGCCCGCAGAGGCGCACGCCCCCCGCCCTCCGAGGACAGAGGATCGAGGTATCGAGGGCCCGAGGGAACGAAGATCGAAGGATAGAAGCATCGAGGATCGGGGGATCGCAGCACAGCATATCATAGCATAGCCCAACATAGCATCAGCATGGGTGTAATTCCCTACCTAGGTTCTGCCTACCGGGTTAGCTTAGCTTAGTTTAGTTTAGCTTAGCATAGCGCAGCGCTGCATTAGCATAGCATTGCATAGCATAACATAGCCAAGCATAGCATTGCATAGCATAGCGCAGCATAGCATAGCATAGCATATCATAGCGCGGCGTAGCATAGCATAGCATATAATAGTTTAGCATAGCACAGCGCAGCATGACATAGCATTGTTTAGCATAGCATAACGTAGCACAGCATCGCATAGCATAGCGCAGCATAGCATCGCATAGCATAGCATAGCATAACATAACATGGCATGGCATAGCATAGCAACTAATGCTGCTTTCCTAGGGGCTCCAACTTCTAGGTAGGGTCGCACTGGGGCCTGTCACGTTTGATACGTCGTCCGATCGGTCGTTGCTGCGCCTCGTTGTTCATGTGACCAGCCTGACCTCTGCACGCATGTCTCGTTTCATCAGACGCCATGAATCGGTCGTTGATGTTTTCGCGTTATCCGCCGACCCCCTTGAGGGGCCACCAGGCTGTAGGACGAAGGCTTGCTGTTCCCTGCACCAACTCCAATTTCCAGTTTCCACTGTTACAAATCTGCTTCTTGATGCTTACTGTTCCTTGTTGATGGACCGTGCGAGGGGGGGGGGGAGCCGAGGAGGAACCTAGCTACCACGCCCGAATCGGGTGCTCTGAATTCCTGGCGTGGGACACGTAAAAATACATGAAAGTCGCGCCCCCTGAAACCATAAACTCTCGTAAATTACATATTGTCGCGTCCCCGAGGCCATATAAACATTCGTAAATTACCATATGTTCGCGTCCCCGAAACCATACACCTTTACAAAATACGCCATGCTCGTATCCCCCAAGCCATAAACCCTTGTAAATGATGCAATGCTTGCGTCCCCGAGGCCACAAGCGCTCATAAGCCATGCAATTGTCGCGTCCCCGACCCTTGCAAATTACTCAATAATCGCGTGTCCGAAGCCATACACCCTCGTAAATTACGCAATACTCGCGTCTCCGAAGCCATAAGCCTGCGTAAGTTACGCTATAGCTGCGAGACCGAAGCCTTAAACCCTCGTCAGTCACGCGCTGTTCGCGTATCCGAAACCATAAACCCTCGAAATGCAACACCGAATTCAACAATATCATCAGAATCTCATTTAGTCTTGCCGATTATTCATCGTCTTCGCGTGAAGTCTCGACGATGCTTCACGGCGACGCCGAGGCCTCATGATTTCGCTGTTGAATTGCCCATTATCCGAGAGAAGGGGCCAACGGCAGGTGGCGAAGCCCTTACAGATATTCAGCCATGTCCGGTCCTGGTTCACGTACATATCATATACAACACTATGTCTTAATACGATCTCGCCCATGAGAATAAATTACTATCTGACCTGACATGCTGTGTGACCTCCAGATCTGCTATATTCTAAGAAAAGAACAGTTTTGTGTAATGCGATGCAGTAGTATATGTATTATGTTATGGAATGCTCGTTTGTGATTGCTTCTTTTGGGGCACCCGGGCACCCAGGCACCTGGGCGGGCCGCGGAAATCGGTGGCAAACCTCACCTAACCATATGATGCTGGAGAAAAGCCAGAATCAAAGTCATTTTCGAGCTATAGGGCTATCGGGCTATAGGCCTATAGGGCAACGATGGGGCTATGGGGCTATAGGGCTATGGAACTATAGGCTTGTAGGGCCATAGGGCTATAGATCTGTAGGGCTATCGGGCTGTAGGGCTATAGGGCCATAGAGCTATAGGGCTCTAGGCCTGTAGGGCTATGGAGCTATAGGGCTCTGGGGCTATGGGGCTATGAGGCTACAGGGCCATGGGGGTATGGGTCTATAGGGCTATGGGCTATAGGGCTGCAAGACCACAGCGCTATAGGACTACGGGGATATAGGGCAAGTGGGCTAAAGGACTATAGGGCTCTAGGCATACAGAGCTACAGGGCTATAGGGCGATAGGGCTATAGGGCTATAAGGCTATGGGCTATGGGGCTATAGGGCTGTAGAGCTATAGGGCTATAAGGCTATAGGGCTATTGGGCTATAAGGCTATAGGGCTAAAGGCATATAGAGCTATACGTATATAGGACTATAGGGCTATAGGGCTATCGGGCTATAGGCCTATAGGGCTGCAGGGCTACAGGGCTATAGGGGGGCTTTAGGGCTTTTGGGCTATAGGGCTTTTGGGCTATGGGGCTATAAGGCTATAGGGCTATAGGGCTATCGGGCTATAGGGCTATAGGGCTGTAGGGCTATGGGCTATAAAGCACCTGGGCACCCCGGCACCTGGGCACCTGGGCACCCGGGCACCCGGGCACCCGGGCACCCGGGCACCCGGGCACCTGGGCAACCAGGCACCCGGTCGGGCCGCGGAAATCGGTGGCAAAACTCACCTAACCATATGAATCCGCTAGAACCCCTACAGAAGCAAGCACTGGTTGGGGAATGAATCCGCTAGACCCCTACAGAGGCACGCTCTGATTAAGGAACAACATGGTAGTGTATTCTATTATAACACATCTTGGTATACCACAGTACATTGCAATATAGTGTATCATAGCATCCCACATCATATCATAGTGTTCCATGCTGTGTTAGAATGTCGTTGACTGGTGTACATATGTACAGATACATACACATATATACATGTGTTGGTACTCGGTCTTGACACGATACTGTAATATGTTGAATGAAACGGTACGATGGCACAACACGCTGTAATGCATTATAGCAGATTGCATTACACTATAGTGTGTCATTCCATGTTAGTTAAAGTATACTAGTATGTAAGGTTTATAAAAATGCATTACTTTTACCAGACTCGACCACAAAATGCTATCATGTGATACAACAGATTACACTATGTCCTGCTATATCAGAATACATAGCACTAAAGCTCGTTAGAACACATGATCTTTCATCAGTTTGCACGATACAACATTCTACAATGTTATACCCAGATACCGCATTCCAAATCAAGTACAATTATATCATACTACCTTGGATTAAACCACACGGTGTTAAAACATATTGTGTTACGCCTATGTTACGCTACGCTACGATATGCTACAATATACCATAATAGCACGTACTGGATAACTGTAGATATGCGGATATGAAATAGAATGCCATAGCATGCCCCACTGAATTATAATATGGAATACGATAGGTATATATATATATATGTGTTGAAGCATGTGCTAATATTGATACTATGTTACAAAATAGCATAATGTACCGCAGTCTGATAACCTAACCTATAGCGTGATTTGAGTTTATGACATTCTGTATAAACATACATATCAAAAATGTGGGGGGATCGACGTGGAATGGAGAGCCCCCCACCGGGAAATTGCTGTCGCTGTCGGGTTCGTGTCGGAGGAATGAAGTTCCCTCTAGCTTGAGCGCGGCGGGGACAGAAGTCCGCCCGACCGCGTTGGGCGGAAGCTGAGGGTGTCCCGCCGTGGTGTCCCGATGGTATCCCGTGGTGTCCTGTGGTGTCCCACGGTGTCCCGATCGGTGTCCCCATGGTTTCCTGATGGTGTCCCGTGGTGTCCTGTGGTGTCCCGAGGTGTCCCGATCGGTGTCCCGATGGTGTCCCGTGGTGTCCCGTGGTGTCCCGCGGTGTCCCGCCGTGGTATCCCGATGGTTTCCCGTGGTGTCTAATGGTGTCCCGTGGTGTCCCGCGGCGTCCCGCGGTGTCCCGTGGTGTCCCGCGGTGTCCCGTAAGGTCGATAGTGAGATCGATAGTGAGATCGATACTTAGATCGATAGTAAGATCGATAGTGGGATCGGTTGTAAGATCAAGAATGAGATCGATGGTGAGATCGATAGTGAGATCGATACATTGATAGTGAAACCGATAGTGAGATCGATAGTGAGGTCAACAGTGGGATCGATAGTGAGATCGATAGTGAGATCGATTGTGAGACCAATAGTGAGATCAACGGTAAGATCGATAGTGAGATCGATAGTGAAGTCGATTGTGAGATCGACAGTGAGATCGATAGCGAGAGGGAGAGGGATAGTGGAATCGATTGTTGGATCGATAGTGGGATCGATTGTACGATCGATAGTGATATCGATCGTGAGATCGATGGTGCGAGCGATAGCGAGATCGATAGTGAAATCGATAGTGAGATCGATTGAGTGAGACGTTGGTTCATTCACCCACCCGCCCACCCACCGAAACTCCTCATCACCCGAAAGGTGGACGTATAGGTGCATATACATATATAGAGAGAGGAAGAACGAAAGAAAGAAAGAGATGCGTGTGTGCGTGTCGAACTCGTAACAATATCCGCCACCGTGCCGCGAGGCACTGAGTGGAGTGTCCTCAGGTCCCGTGCGTCCTCAATCCTCTGTCCCGGGGATTCTTTAAGGGACCCACAGCCTGGAGTACCAGACGCTTCTGAGCGCTCTTGGGATTACAAGATGCCCCCGAGAGGGCCCAAGAGTGCCCCGACTCGCCCGAAGACCGCTCCAAGACGTCCAAGGTGGCCTCTGGACGGCCCAAAAGGCCCCCAAGACGACCCAAGAAAGCTCCAAGATGCTCCAAAGAGGGCCCCGAGAGGCCAAAACCATGGATGTCCCCCAGGTGTCTAAAAGAGTTTAGCGTTGTCGCCTTTTCGGCCTTTCGACGCTCCAAGACGGCCCAAGGGCCAAGACGCATCAAAACAGCCCTAAGAGGCGCCAAGATGGCCCCGAGACGTCCCAACCGCAAGAGGGCCCCGAAATAGCTCCAAGAATCCTCCACGAAGCTCTCACAACCGAAATTCCACCAAAGCCTCCCCCTCGTCCTCCTCATCCTCGTCCTCGTACTCCTCCTCCTCCACCTCATCCTCCTCATCCTCATCATCGTCCTCGTCCTCGTCCTCCTCCTCCTCCTCCTCCTCCTCCTCCTGCTCCTCCTCATCATCCTCCTCGTCCTCGTCCTGTTCTTCTCCTCCTCCTCCTCCTCCTCCTCCTCCTCCTCCTCCTCCTCCTCCTCCTCCTCCGCCTCCGCCTCTTCCTCCTCCTCCTCCTCCTCCCATTCCCTCCCTCCCTCCATCCGTCCATTCCCCCCATCCCCCCCTACCTCCTACCCTCCATCCCTATCTCTACTTCCTCCTCCTCCTCCTCCTCCTCCTCCTCCTCCTCCTCCTCCGCCTCCTCCTCCTCCCACCTCCTCCTCATTCCACCTCTCCTCCTCCCCTCCACCTCTGTCCTCTTCTCCCCCTCCCTCCTCCTCCTCCTCCTCCTCCTCCCTCCTTCCCTCCTTCTCCCCCTCCTCAACATAGTCCTCCTCCTCCTCCTCTTCCTCCTCCTCCTCCTCCTCCTCCTCTCCGCACCTCCTCCTGCCTCTTCATCCTCCCTCCTCCTTCTCCTCCTCCTTTCCTCCTTCCTCCTCCTCCTCCCCTCCTCCTCCTCTCATCTTCCTCCTCCTCCACCATCCCGCTCCGCCTCCTCCTCCTCCTCTTTGTTTCCCCCCTCTTCCTCCACCTCCTCTTCCTCCTCCTCCTGCTCCTTCTCCTCCTCCTCCTCCTCCTCCTCCTCCTTCTCCCCTTGCTCCTCCTCCTCCTCCTCCACTTCCTCCTCCTGCTCCTCATCATACTCCTCATCGTCATCATCATCATCATCATCATCATCATCATCATCATCATCATCATCATCATCATCATCATCATCATCATCATCATCATCATCACATTCAGCATCAGCAGCAGCATCACATCAAGCATCATCATCAACATCAGCATTCAGCATCATCATCACATCATCATCAATCATCATCAACATCACATACATCATCAGCATCATCAGCATCATCATAACATCATCATCACCACCATCATCAACATCCAATCATCATCATCACCATAATCAGCATCACATCATCATCATCACAGCAAGCAGCAGCAGCAGCATCAACAGCATCATCATCATCATCAGAATCAAGCGAATCCATCACCTCATCAATCACCATCATCACCATCGATAATCACATCAGCAGCATCATCATCATCATCAACATCATCAGCATCAGCATCATCATCATCATCACATCAGCATCACATCATCATCAGCATCCATCATCATCATCATCATCACATCAACATCATCATCAATCATCATC